CGACGATCCACCGTCAGCATTCCACGAGCAACAAGCTGCTGAATCAATTCGTCGCCGCTTTGATCCAATTTCAACTTCCCTACTCTGTCGACCAACGTCTTATCATCTCGTGGAACAGAACAGAATCGAGCGCAAGGATGTGGTGACCTCTCCTGCTTGTTTCCCAAGATTCCAGAGGCGTGACCGTTCCAGCATTTGAGGCATCAAGCTTCCACGGCCACATTGAGCAAAGATCAGGAATGAACGATCCAGGTTGAATTCATTGATTTGATCTTCGTGACGTAATGTCAATTTTGCAATCATCTTCAACAAATAGTCCTGTTTGCCAGAGGAAGCTGATGTCAAATCCGATGGTTTGGGCCGCTCCTGGCCATTCCGAGCTCGGCCATCTGAGGAGAGATCTGTCCTGGATCTCTTGGGGAAGTGTTCTCCACGTGCTTGGATCAGGTCCTGGTAGGATTGATCGTCCGCGGTCATCTCCGGATCCAATATCATGATCTCCATTCAGGAGAAGGGTCAAACAAGCACGTTCCTGATGCAGAGCCCAGGCTATGGTCGTCAACATGTGAGCCACAAGTTGAAGTTGAGATTCTAGATCATCATGCAAGGTGAATGAATCAGGCGGTTCAAGTTCAACATTCGTTGAGGTCCATGCCCACAGTTTGGGTACGAAGGCGGTCAAAGCATCAATGAATCGGAAGACCTGGTCAGCAACAAAGCAAGCTTGTGGTAGTTCACAGAGATGTGCACACACAGTAGTGGAGTGAACAAACCAACGAATGTGATGCTCTGGCAAAAAAGTAGGTGTGCGACTCAGCAAGGGAACAAACCAGTTATTGCAAGGCCAAACGCGGGCACTGGCTGTGTTGGGTGTCCAGACATCACAGGCACCCAGGAGCAGCTGGGAGGTGTCCGTGATGGCCCCATCTCGGATTGCTGTAGGTGATAAAGGCACCTGTGGCTGATCATGGTTGCCGCATTCAATAATGGCTCCAAAGTGCTGGTGTTTGACCCAATCACAAAGTAAGACTGGATAAGAGGCTCTACGAAAATGCGTGAGCAAAGAAAGATCCATGGTAAAGACACTGTAACAATGACCACAGGCAAGTTGACCCGGGAGCATATCACGATCGGCCTGAAAGGGAAATTGTGAGGGACGTGCTGCCTGATGAACAATATGAAGATGAGCAGCGAGGGCCTTTCGACCCAATTGTGCCTGACAGATTGGATATGTGTAGGACTTAGCTGGTTGAGGACAATCTGTAGCCGGCAATGCTAACATCTGCTTAATCGTCTTGGGGACAGGTGTTTTGCATATACCAAAGGGCTGACGTCTCTGCTATTCAGAGGGACTCTGGTGTGTTAGCATTGATTGACATTGGGTTGCATGAACCGCTAGACCATGTGATGACAAAAAACTCAGGTGGCATGAAGGACAAGTATGCAAACAACTCGAAGTCGGTGCAGGCAGACTGGTGGCCTGTGCATCGAAGTCCACTTGCATAGCAATAGAATCATCAGATTCAAGTACCTTGGACGCCGTGGCAGGAGAGTCAACATCAGGCTCATGAGGGGATGTATTGGCAGGCAGACTGCTTCTCATCATGACTGACATACAAGGAAAATGCTCAGGATCATAAGTCTGTCCCATTAGTACGCTCAATTGGTACAGAACACCACACGCATGATTTCTGACATCACGACAGGATTGCTGACAGAGGACACAAATGCCTTTACCACTTCCAAGATTGGCCAATCCATGGATCTGGTCACGTGCATGCTTAGCGAATCCATCCAAATGTGGATATGCATCAGTGTAGTGCTTGCGAATTGCACATGACGAAATGGCACTATGGCAGTATGCACAATGATTCGCTAATTCGGCCATCAAAGATTGATTCCAAAGAAGGCCTGGAATGGACTTATAGCGCAAGTGCATACGAAGATCAGGGCGATCACAAATCGGCGCAATGCAGTCCTTAGCAGGGTTGAATTGCAAGCAAGCACGTCTATTGATGCGATCACGAAGTCGATACATGTCAGTGAACGAACGTGCACAATGTGAATAGGTCGGATATCCATTAGTAGTATCACGAAGTCCACTGAAGACATCTTCAATGTGACATGGAACAGAATGAATCTCCCGCATGCGGCGTTTCAATGGACCTGCCTGTGCGAAGGATCGATGGCATTCAGCACACTTAAGAACATCCGCCTGGGCACATGGATCGGCAGAGGCACCGGGGACAATGACGTGACATGGTGGGTAGTCTGGGGTCAAAGCAATGACATCATCTGCAGCATGGAATATGGCAGGATCCGAGAGGGACACTCGGCGTCGGCTCAAATGTTCTTGAAATCGTTCACAGTGCTTACGAATCATGATCCAAGCAGGATCAATTTGTAATCTGCCAAAGAAATCATTGGTGTTTTCTCTGGTGATATGCACAGGTGAACGAATCATGATACGATGATGATTATTGATGAGGCTGATAATGCGTAGACAACCAATTCGGGTAAGAACCATTTCAAAAATGCCATAGAACAATGAAACAATGATGCATTGACGATATAATCTCAATCTCAAACAAAGAGGATGGTGTATGTTCGTGAGCCAACTACGGAGGATGTGAAAACATGTCTGTGCAGCTTGAATCCGGCGAGCAACAGTGTCATTCTCCCATATTTGGTAGCTAATAACAACTCCAAGATAAGAAATCTTGCCCACCATGGGGATTATGCTATTCATATCAGGAAGATGCAAAACAGGACCAGTGAGTGGGCGGCTGCACCACTTCTTGAGAAATGGAGCCATCTGTCTCCCAGTGAGCCGCATCATAGCTGCACTTTTCTTCGGGTTGACTCGAAATCCGGCAGTTTGCAGGCTGAAGATTAAATGGTTCAAGTCATGAAGGGCAGCAAGACCATCTTGAATTGAGTTGATGATCCATCGAAAATGCAAGTCATCGGCAAAAATCTCAACATGGTTCCGAATCCATTCCATGTCATGATTAGCTAGTAGTTCATGGCAGAAGAGATAAATACATACAATCCACATCAAAGGAGCATCCTTTGCTCCCTGTTTGATGCCCCGACTTGCACGTATCCGGCCAGGCAGGTCTTTGTGAGGCAAACAGTATTCATGTGGCATAAGCCATGAAGTGATGAGGTTTCTGAGGTCAGGATTCATGTCAAACACTTCTAGAGCTTTGAGAACATGATTACGACTAACAGCATCGAACGCTTTTCCAAGGTCCAATGAGACCTGAAGTCCACCCACCCCACAAACCTTTCGGTGCAGCATCTTTGTGATGCCCCTGGCGCAAATCACGGACCTGTCAGAAATGATCAGAAGGCAATCCTTGGTGCTGCGATCCGGCAGGTATGCATACAGTGGCATGCGACAAATCTGTGGCAGGACAATTTGACGTAACAATTGACAATGGAGTCCGGTCAAGATTTTATTCATCGGGTGCTGGAGACAGATTGGGCGCAAGGCTTCAGGTCTATGAGGTGATTTAAGAGGCTTAAGTAGAAGGTGAATCCATCCTGTGGTCGAGTGTGCTGGTGGTTGACTGCAGTCATGGCACCAAAACATTTCTAAATCTGCCCCAAGAAAAGGCGAAAGGTCCGCAGCAAAGTGCCGCCATATCAAAGCTGGAAGACCATCAGGTGCAAGTGCTTTGGTCATTGGCAATCCTTGCAGCTGAGTTCGGATCTGGTCCTCAGTGAATGGGACATGCGTCAGAGCCGGGGGGTTGTCCGATTGGAAATTTGGATCACAATACAATTGACCAAAGAATTCAGTGATCTGATCAAGTTCCTGCTGTGGTGTGAGAGGAGCCCCAAAACGATCAAAGAGCTGAATCTTTTGTCGTTTGCTTTTGGAACAAAATTGACGAATACGTCTATGCCAATCCAGGATCTCATGACGCAATGCAAGGTCAACACTGTCTTTCATGAAAATATCAAGGCGTTGACATTTATTCTGCGGATTGAGAGAGCGAATTCGACGGTGCAATACCGAATAGGTGCTCATATGGCGCCAGCATTGAAACATGGCCTGAAGAGTGCAAGGTGTAGCCTTCGAGAACAATCTTCTAGCATTCCACATCCTGGCCGTTATCGAGACCAAGGCACTGCAGTGCGGGCGGACATTGGAGATCTGACGGGGAAAGTGTTGGATACACAGCTGTCGAATAGCAGTCTCTAGGGACAAGCTTTGGGAAATCAAGGCATCATTTTGATCAGGGGTCCTGAGTGTCTGCATACGAATGAGGGCGTGAATTGCTTGTTCGAATGCTTGCCATTTGGTGGTCTGACCCAGGAATTCTTGACGTAACCTGAAACGGTCAATGGGCGAGTGTGCAACTGATGGTTGTTTGATGTGAAATCATCTGGGTAGTGAAGCAGTCCAAGGTCGATAGATGGGACCAAGAATACCCAAAGTGCGTTCAACACGATAATGAATATGAGTCTTCAATTTCTGCCAACGGATTTGGTGCTCTCTCATGAACATGAAGTCAATGCGTGTAGCACGAGATCCATGGAGAAACGTGTGTCGATAACATTGTTTATAATGTATTGCTACTAGTCGGAGGTCAGCGACCAGCGCCTGAAAAATATGTTTGTCTTTCTGTAAGGCACGACTGAACTTTGCATCGGAGGTGCAAACAAAGGAATCAACTCTGTCCAGCGGCGTGTTGAAATCTCCGGCCACCAAGAGCATGGGACGTCGTGGTGTATGGCGTATAGACTCATCAAGACGTGTCCATAATTCTGCACGAGCTTGAGTCAGATCCGTTGGATCACGTGTGGTGTTCCATGCAAATTGATAGACACTGCAAATGTCATAAATGCAATTGAACATAAGGCGCAAGTAGATTAATCTTCCAGGAATGATAATGTGGAAATGAATCCAGCACTGGTAGCAAACATCATAGCGCTCTTTTCTTGAGCCATCGCGAGAGCGAAAGTCGGGCGCAGTCTCATCAAGCTGGTCAGGTCCATGAGCAATCCGGGTCAGTGCGTGACATGTTCCTGGTTTCACCTTCGTTTTCACATTCGTCTTTCTTCTGACCTCGATCGCTCTTGGTCCCTTGCAGCTCGATCTTCAAGGAAAGGCCGTTCATGGCCGCTCGGACGTCGCTTGCGTCCATGTGCTTCGTGAGTGCGTCGGCCAGCATCGTCTTCGTGCTGATCCACAGCACTCGGGTGCTGCCGTCTTGCGGCGGCTGGTCGCTGAACAGCGGGTCGCCCACTTCTTCATGGCGTCGACGCCAGATCATCTGGCGCATCCCGCAAAGGTCTATTGCGAGCCTCTTGTCATTCACCTCTCCGAGCCCTTGTTGCGTCAAGTGGTCGGACAAGCTGCGACAGTCTGTCAGCTTGATCAGATCTGTCCCGTCCTGGGCTCTCATCCTCCAGTTGGGATCACCTTGATCGTGGCCATGATGTAGTCCATCCAGGATCATCCTCAGGTGCTCCCCGTCCTCATAGCCAGCCAGCATACTCAGGCTCTCAGCCTGAAGTGTGCTTCGACACACCCGTCGAATCACGGAGCTCTTCCATTCCAAGATGTGGATCGGGCCTCCACTCTTGTCAATGAAGTCTGGCCCACAGAAGGCCAGAATCCTCCCAGATTGGGAGCGAAAGCCAAGGCGCTGTCCAGTCGACGAGAGGTCATAGTCGTTGGCGTGGCTCGCGTCGGTGATGGAGAGGATCTTGAGCTCTTCAAACTTGAAGGGGCGCCACACGTAGGTCAGCCGCTGATCCTTGCTGAGCATCGCCCTCCTGAGCAGTGAGTTGCAGTCCACCAAATCTTGGACACAGGGCTTCTGGACACAGCTTTGTAGTCGGCTGGTGTCGTAGGCAAGATCAGGCCGGTTGACACGCACAATCCAGTTCAAGGAGCCAAGAACACTCCTCATCTGAGATTGCTCCTTGTGAGTGGCTTCTCCTCCTCGGTTGACTTTCCTGGCTGTTGACAGGGCAATCGGTGTAGTCCTTTCAAGACCATGCGGGCATGTGACATGGATGCCCTCGTCGTCCTGTGAAATCATTCTGCCACAGAACTTGAAGGTGGTGTCGGCGGTACGGCCAAACTTCAGCTTCTTCTGGACGTTGTCCATGGCCTGCTGGGTGAGGTCTCCTCCACACCAGAGTAGGTCGTCCACATGACTGATCACCAGTCCATCCACAGAGCCGTCCGGCTTGTTCATCACATAGGCGGCATTCTCATGTGGAATGGGACGTAGCCCAAACTCCTTCATGGTGTTGTGGAGGCTCTTCCAAAATCCTCGTGGAGCATCCTTGGTGCCATAGGCAGGCTTCCGTGCCACAAGCAGTGATCCGGGCGCCACTCCTGGTACACCATCTTTTGGTAGGCTCATGATGAGCATTCTGGAAAGCCCAAGCCCTTGTAGGAACGCCGCAGTGATGTCTCCACTGTGTAGGCGTAGGCCATTGCAGCTGGCGAAGGACAGAACCATGCTCAGCATCAAGTGAGATGCTGTTGGAGAGTCAGTGCGAACTCCTCCTTGATGTGCCTGGTTTTCAAGATCTCCACGTACAACCAGGCGGCTTTTCAGTTGTTCTTCTTCTCCTTCATCCGCCTTGTTGACATCTACCCATCTCATGGGTGCCACTTGTGCTCGAGGATGCTTCTTGCGGAAACGATCAGCATCTTGAGGTGGGATCACCTCACAAGCATCGAAGTTGGTCCAGTTGGTCCATTCCTTGTGCCTGGTTTGATCAAGCTTCGCCTGCATCTCTGGTGAGGCCTTGGAGTAGTTGATCTCCTTACTGCCGGCACTCTTCTTCTTGTAGTTGGTGCGCCGGGCCAAGAATCCTCGCAGGCAGGTCGATTGTATCTTCTGGCGGCGGTTCTGCGTAGCGTAGAAGGTTCTCGGCGGTGTCCTTGACCGTTGTCTCGAAGATGAACTGGATGTAGGATGTCCATCAAGTCCTTCCAGTGATCTCCACATAGATCGCTGCAGTGGTGTAGGCGTAGTAGTGGTGGTTGGTGAGCCTTCAGTTGTTGCTCTTGTTCGCTTGGAATCCGGTTCGATGTCTGGCTCCTCCACGGATGAATGTCGTGGTAGGTCTCCAAGTTCATTCATGGCCTCTTGAAATTCATCGAACTCGACCTCTTGGTCATCATCAGGTACTAGTCCTGGAGGTTCTTCTGGACCTTCGGCTGGTACAGGAACTGCAGCTGCCTCTTCCAGTGTGAGTGGGTCTGCAGGTAGTCCAGGTGGTGGTTCAGGATGTTCATCTCCAGGTGGTGTTGATGTTGCCACCGCTGGTGCTGAAGACATTCCTTGTTCAGGTTCTTCTCCTGGTTCTGATGCGCCTGGAGCTGGATGATCTTGATGTCCAGCATGATCTCCTCCGGGGCGTCCCACATCCAGGTAGGAGTCCTGATTCTCCTCGTCAGACTGATTGGCCATCAGATCATCGGCGAAGGGGACTTCATCTTCATGGTCCTGTAGGATCTGCCGCTTCCTCTTGCGTGATGGTCGAAGTTCCAGGAGTTGTTTCGCCACAACTTCTCCTTGAAGAGCTGGTCGACATGATTCCTCATTGATGGTGATGGGAACTCCACCATGGATCAACCAAAGGTTGCTGCGGCCTTCTCGTCCAATGACCCGTGCTGGTCCATACCAGCGTCCAACTCTAAAGAAGCATACCAGATCTCCTGGTACATAGGGTCCACGAAGTGGCGTAGATCTCCGCAGCAATGAAGTCCGGATGCGGCGGCTGCTGTCGGCATACTCAAAAGCTTCCTTGGCAGCCTGTCGGATGTTCAGTTGTTGTGCGAACTCGGTTTCTCCCGTGACCATTTCTTCATGAACTCCAAGACGGTTGGGTGCTTGTTCAACTGTCAGGCTGGTCACGTCATCTGGCAGCTTGCCCATGACCCATTGAGTTGGGCTGAAACCTGCATGGTTCACACGACAATTCTTCACGAAGGTGGATTCCATCACAGCCATTCGCATCCCTGAGATGCCTACGATATGTCGTGCTGCCACCGTGTTCTTGATGATCTCCTTCAGAAGTGAACCTTGACGTTCTGCTCGACCGATTTGATGATGAGCCTCCGTGCCAGCGTAGCGGATGTAGACCCCCTGTGCAGACATAAGAGCAGCAACTTGTCCACGGTTGGCCACTCCTCTATCAACAGTCAGGTACTTTGGAGGGCCAAAGTGGGTGAACCAGTGATCTCGGAAGATCTCTGCACACTTTTGACTGCTGGGAGTTCCGCCCTTGTCGGAGACGATCCAAGCGCTGTGGTACAGTGTGCCCATGTCGATGATGGAGAGAACGGTGTACCTGTTGCCAAGTCCATCTCTCACCTCAAAAGCATCCGAGGTGATCTCGAAGTTGAAGGTGTATGGACTTGGTGGTCGGACAACAGGTCGTGGCTGTGGCTTCTTATGGTGCTGGCATATCTCGCATTTGAAGTACTTCACCTTGTTGATAACTTCTGGAGCTGCTCGAGCGACACGGAGCATGCGAGCCATAGCACCAATGCTAGAATGCCCAGTCATTTGATGTAGTCGTCGGAGAGCGACTCGTTGGGCATAGGGTAGGCTAAGCCACTGTTTCTTCCGCACACGATCTCCTTCTGTGGTTCCAGGTTCTCCCTCACGATCTTCTTCGCCTCTCAAATCATCTTCTTCAGCTCGGTGTGGTAGCGGAGGATTTGGTGCCAGGTCCTGCTCATCGTAGATCTTGTCCAAGGTGCCCAAGGGGTTGTCCTCCATGACAGCTTCAGCTGGAAATGCCACCTTGGTAATGGTACCTTCAAGATCACAAAGAATCCCTTGCAGAATTCCTTCACAAAAGGGACGTGGCCATTCTTGGGCTCGTTTTGTGCGGTTTGATCCCTCGAGAGCTTGGTGTTGGTGATCTCCAGGGCATAGTTGTGACATGTTCTCCTTGATGCCCAAACTGGCGGTCATCAGTCCAGTAGGCTTCTTGTTGGGCATACCATTATCTCGGTCCTTGAGACCGTAAGCACATTGGTCACATTTGATCACCTCCACGATCTCGCCCGTCATAGGGTCAGTGATGTGGTCCTGTAGAACTCGAAGAAGAGCAAGCGAGTCCCACATCTTCGACAGCCATGGTTGCTCCAGCAACACTTGCCGCCCTTTTGCCACTCGGCTTCGGATCACCTGCGAGATCCACTTTACCACCGGGTACCATTCCTTCCTCTGCTCCATAATCTTGTTTGCAGTCTCCTCAGACTTGCTCATATTGAGCTCTTGCCACTGGCACCAGGGGCCACAGAGCGGCGACATGGAGATAAGGTACGGGTCGTCCTTCTCGATCTGCTGGTCGATCGTGTCCCGGTGTTCCTTCTTCCGCAGGTCGGTGCCGTCATACAAAATGTCGACGGGCTGTGAAACAGGGTATCCCATCTCGGAAGCCATGTGAGACAGGATGGCTGCTCCGGCAAAGATCTCTAGTAGCAGCGTGCGGCAGCCTCGAGGCATCAAACGAGGTCTTACGCTTTTGTGTGAGGATCGTAGCAATCCCCACATGTGCTGGTCCCTCTCCTTCACGTCCTGCACATCCTTCTTGAACTGCTTCTTCTGGCCCTTGGGGAAGACGCGCTTGTGCTGATGCATCTCATCCACGGCCATGTGGGTCTCATTGACCAGTTGGATGTCTTCCTCTGGTGGTGGTTCCTCTTGCTCATAAGTCATGTTGTGCTCCTTCTCAAGGTTCTCGGTGTCCTCGAAGTGCTCGGCCACCAGGCCAAGATATCCGGGAATGAGCCGGATTGCCAGAAGTCCATTGCGAGCCACCAAACAGAGATCACTGCCAAGTACGGTGGAATGTACATTTTGGTGGTTAAGATCGATCACAAAGCCAAGCTGCTTCTGGCTCTCCACGCTGAGCAAGAGTGGTGCATCGAAGGAGGCAATCTCCAAGGATACCAAAGTTCCTCGGGCAAAATCTCCATTCTTCATCTCGAAGCTCACTTCGAATTCACGTTTTCCCACCAGCTTCATCTGGCCGCCAATTCCCTTCATGCCAGGTCCAGAGCATGGCTGTAGTGGAGGTTCAGGTGCTCCGGTGGCCTTGAGGTATTGTTTCAGCCATTCACTTCCGTGACATGTGGCATTGCAGCCAGTGTCCAGGATGGCCACCAAGTTGTCTTCGCTACCACATTCTTGGTGATGTTGTGCCATGTAGCCATAGTGAGTCGTCTCTGGGATGGCAGCTCCATAACGATCGCGTCCTCCAGCCTGCATGTCCTGGAAGTACTGGGCCAGACGGATCATAGCCTTGGAAGGTTTTCCGGTTTTGACTTCGCCAAAAGCCAGCGGACATACCCTTGGTCATTCCAAGCTTCATACTGGGTTTGTCCTTTGTAGAGGCCAAAGCTGATGGTGCGACGGCCTTCTTGCTGTAGTGAATGAGCATGTGCTGGCGGAGTGGATGGGTCCGGTGTAGGCGGATCGGTCCAAATGGCCTGTGATGTCGGTGTCCTGGTAGGCAATGACGGAGTCTGAGTTCCTGAGCCTGCCGGTTCCGTAGGAGTGTAGTCCTGACCTTCATGTGCTGGTCGGCCGAGGACAATGTTCTCACACATCCGGAGAAGGTCAACCAATTCGTGATCGGTGAGAGTGAATCCTTCTCCTTGTCCTTCTGACTTGAGGTCCAGGGAGTGGTTGAAGAGTCCACGGACACGAAGAATCTCCTCGGAAGTCATCTTCCGGCTTGAGGTTGTCGGCCGGGTCGTCGAAGAGGTCTCATTGGAGGCCGTTGACGGTGACGATCCCTTGCCGGAACTCTTTCCTCCATTCACAGGGCCGCTGCGGACTTCTCCACATTGAAGACATGTGCGCTTCCAGCGAAAGCCATTTGTGCCATGCCAGCTCACTCGATGATGGTTGCATCCTGGTGCAGAGGATGTCTCCGAGGTCATAGACCGAGAATCGGCTGATCCCACAGGGGTGCGCTCCAAGATAGTGCCACAATCCTTACACTTCTTGACCTTGTAGAAGGCGTTGGATCCCTGTCCGGTCACGTTGTAGTGAAGGCATGCTGGCTTCTTGTTCGTCGGCTTAGTCGTTGCCGATGCTGGCGAGACCTGTGATGGTGAGGTCTCATGGCTGGTCCACTGAACTGGTTCTCGATGTGGTCGAGGATCGGGTTCTTGTGGTCGTGCTGCACGGGCTTGAACTTCAGCAGGTGGTTCCGATGGGGTAGTCGAGGAAGTTGGGCCTTCAATGGACAGAACTTCTCCTCGGTCTTCTCGATATTCAGATACTCCCAAAGCAGAAACCAACATCATCATGTCGAGGCCCTCCTGTGACACTGATTGTCCTTCTCGCACGTGGGATGATGCCACCAAAGACCATTTGTCTTCCTCCTCAGGTGAACTCACAATCTCGCCCTGCTGCAACTCCGTGGGAGGCGGCACTGCTCCAAAGATGTTGAAGGGTCTGCGATAGGCCATAAGAGCGGTATGCTCCTCGGCGGTCTCATTCTCCCGGACGGCGAAGAACACAGTGCGAGGCTTCGCATCTCCAGATCCTTTGCCCTTTCCAGAACCTTTAGGCGATTTGCCTTTTCCTTTGCTTTTCGGGCAACTAGCATCTCCACTCCAATATCCCACCTGTCCGCATCGTCGACAAGTGGTGCGGGATTTCAGGTTCTAAATCTTCTGTTGCCGTTCCTGGAGTGTCAACTGTCCTGAGACATCAAATGCTCGGCCGCTTGAACCAGAGGATTTTCCTTTTCCTTTGTTGTGGAAGCCCTTGATGCCCTTCTCCTTGGCACGTTCACGTGCAAAGTAGGCTTCCTGTTCAGCCTGGATGATGTCGGCCGCATATTCCATGGCTTCCTCATCGTTCATATCAAGTCCTTGATCGGCCAACATGGGCAAAAGTGTCCCTTCATCCATCTCCTCGCCGAGGTCGTTATCCTGCCAGTCGTAGTTCTCCTCATAGGCGTAGTGTGGTTGCTCGGACTGGTAGGCGTTGAGGTCGTCGTACGGGTCGTGCTCATACTCCTCGGCTGGGTACTCTTCAGAGAAGTAGCCCATTCCATGTCCACCTCCTTTTCCTCGATGACGCCAACCTGAGCCTTTCGGCCGCTCAAAGCCAATGCTGCGCCCTCGATGTTCTCGTTCGTGCAATCGAGAGTGCTGGGCGATGAGCTCGGATTGGATGCCGGCCATGGTGATCTTTCCACCCAAAGCTGATCTGATCAGTAGGACCTATTGGTCAGTCAGGCCGGCATTGACCAGAACTTGTTCAGCCAAGATCACTTCCGGCAACTTCAGCTCCTTGTCCAGGTCAGTCAAAACCTGGTACCAGGCCTGTCGACGGACCAAGTAGGTCGACATCGGCTCGGTGGCGTGGCTTGGCGGCTAAGGATGCCGCCCTCACGGGCGCCGGCCGCGTAGAGCTCGCGTGCCTCTTGTGCCCTCCTTGGCTTCAATGAAGTAGCAAGGGCATGGAGCAGCTTTTCCGCGCCCTCCTTGCTGGCGAGAATAAAGTAGGGCATCTGCTGGGCGACACGTAGTGCGGGGCCTGAGAGCTGCTCCACTAGGCGGGCAATGGTCCTTGTTTCTTCCCCTCGCTAGGATCCATCTCAGCCTCTCGTGCCATGCGGGCACGAACCCGCCAGGTGTATTCACCTAACCTGGTCGCTTCTCCATTGAAGCGTGGAATGCCACCAGCATTCTTGCCCTTGGTGCTATTCTACGTCTCCTCCTCCTTAATGAAGTTGACATACCTAAAGGTGTCAAGAAGCGCCATGGGTAAGTACAGCGCGCAAACCGTGACCGCTAGGGCCGTCACGAAAAGGGTCGGGACCGGGGTCCCTAGGAGCCTTCGTAGCTCCGCTACCAGTGTGGAAATGAATCCAGCACTGGTAATAAACATCATAGCGCTCTTTTCTTGAGCCATCGCGAATACGAAAGTCGGGTGCAATCTCATCAAGCTAATCAAGTCCATGAGCAATCCGGGTCAGTGCGTGACATGTTCCTAATTTCACCTTCGTTTTCACAAATAACATTATAAATTATTTTATCTAAAAATATAACTACACGTCTTATCATCAATAACTATGAGGCTCTTTAGTGAGCTGTGCGAATACACGTCCAATTATGGATTTGCCATTGGGTCGAAAAAAATCCAGCCTATTTCTTAAATGAACAGAATATTATAATCGTTCTAATCATTCCAAAAAATCCATTCATCATAGACCAGACCACTGCCTGCATTCCATAAGGAGATTCTAAAATCAAAGGTTATAGAAACGATCCTAGCTATAAAAATAATTTTAGATAAATCATCATTGGGATCGAAAATACGAAAACACATAAGAATTTCATAAGCCCAAAGAATTTTGCCTTTATATTAAATTAACCATCTCGAACAACTCGACAATAAACACCTTTATAAATGCATTTCACCTATTTATATCTAAATAAAAATCATCTATAACCTAAGCCAACCATTACCCAGACCTCAAATAATTTCGTACGAATAATATAAACCTAAAAAGTGCTTTCATAAATATTCCTCCCGACCTATAAACAATCGATAATTCTCATACCAATTATAATCAAACAAGCCATTCAAAAGAAAAATATCCTCGGATTTAAGACCGAAATTTCCAACAAAATAGAAATTACCCCCAAAACAACGACAATCAACAAAAATCACGATATATAATAAAACAAAGAAAAATCATAATATTACCTCAAATTACACCTTTTAACCCTAAAATACTAGTTATTTAATAATATATCTATACACATATATATATATATATTAAATTTAACTATTTATATATTATATAATTTCATTATTTTGCAATATTCATTCTATTTTTGTATTTTTAGATTATTAAATCTATAATTATTAATTTATAATCTTTAATATTTATAAAATATATTTGATAAAATGTGGGCGTAACAATTTGTAATTCCAGATCCTTCGCCATTTCCTGGATAGCGTAGACGCAAAAAATGAGGCGAGCAATTGTATTGATCAGCTGAATTTTCTTGCGTTGCTGTTGAAAGTAACTATTTTAGAACTGCTAGAAGCTGAAGCAAACATGAAATGGAACATGTTCCCTATAGAAACGATGCGACTTCGGGAGTGATCCAAGAATTCGAACCATCAATTCCCCACCCGTTTGACCAACCCATTGACCCGTTGACCGGTGGTGTCAGTGGGAGTTTCCCAGCATCCCGTTCTGTGCAGACCTCTTCTCAAAGCAAAGCAGCAACCACCGGAGAACTCAGCGTTTTCCTCATCCAACCGCAACCGAACCCGGTGGACAGCAGCCATTTCCTTACGGAGCATCACCATGATGAAGCCGAAAACAAGTGTCCAAAGATGTCCAAATTGATCGACTAAATTCACCAACATGTGCCCATCACCAGGGGTGTTTGAGATAATACCAAGTTCTTCAGATGGAACTGAGCATTGTAAGGACACGAAGTCGACTCTTCTGATGCCCCCCAACCAAGCCTGCGTGAGCAAAGCCACCACTTCCTCTGCCTGGCCGACACGCATGGAGGTGAACAGGGATGTCCAGATACGATTCAAGTTCGAGAAACAGATCCAGCAATTAAAAGACTCTAGGCCCAGTGCGACTGCCAAAAAAACACAAAATGGATTGCACCGGCAATTACACCAAGTAGCAACTACAGTAACATCAACTATAACGACTAAATTTTCAGACAGAAACACGCAAGTCATTCACCAAAAAGGTCCATGGCAGCTCCAGCGACCAAGAGCGGGTCCAAGAACACCTGACTCACGTGACTCACCTGACTCACGTGTTTCTTCTCTTCGGGCGCTCCGCGCCGCGCCCGCAGTCTCCGATCGGAGGCGGAAAAAAAACAAGTCGGATGACATACTTCGTGACTTTTGGTTAGAAATAAGTAGAAATTAGCTAAAAATTAGCTAGAAATAGCTAGAAATTACCTAGAAATACCTAGAAATAGGTAAACATTAGATATGTCTAAAATATGTGGCTTCTTATGTGTTTTAAATGTTTTTTGCTCTTCCTATGTTTTCGTTTTATTAACAAAAAAACGTGCTTTCTCTTGAACATATACCAGTTTCTATAAAACATTTCTATGCGGCCTAAGGGACGCTCTGATGCAGCAGAGCGGCCGTGAGGCCGCTTTCCTTTTTTCTTTCAAGCAGCTAGCCATGTTTTTTGCTAATTGGTTTCGACCATTTCACATAGTATTCTTTATCTTTACCGCCACGGCGGCGTT